CTAGGATAACGCATAATTATAATTTAATAATTTCATTAGGAGTATATATATTGCAAAAGTATCGTTTTAAAAAAATTGCTAATTTTTCAATTTCACTGGATATCTTTTCGATTTTGAAATATTCAGTTTTTAAACGATATTTCGATTGATTTGCCATTAACAAAAAAAAAATTGGAATTATTTTGAAAAAAAAAAAAATTAATGATGCCGGGGATTGAACCCGGGCCGCCGGCGTGCCAGTCGAGCACGTTACCACTAGGACAACGCGCACATTTAAAAATTAAAATTCATTAGTGGTATATATTCAATAGATTGAATAATTTTTTCCATTGAAATTCCACAAGATGTGGTTTCCCCCTTCCGTACGTGCTACAGTCAGCTAAATTTCAGTTAAACAAATGAAAAACAAAGAGCATTCGTACAGCAGAAAATAAAATTCACCCCGTTGAAAAACTTAATCAAGTCCAATTAGCCCTTAACCAAATCCATTCCAGCCCAGGAAATTTTTTTCAAGAATAAATAAATCCAAATTTTCATTTCGTTGTAGATTTCAAACGTCGTAATTTTATTTCATTTTCCAGGATCCATATGAATTATCAATTAATCAATTATCATTATTATAGTAACAATCTACACAATCACGTACTTACATTCTATCATATTTATATATGTATATCGATACATTTTTTGTATTGTATTGTACACATTTGCCACACTTTTATTTTCCCACTTCTTACGGAAAATAATAAATTCGTTTCGGAAACCTTCAAAACGAAACTCCTAATGTCTTTATATGTGTGTAAGAAGAGAGAACCAGTTTAAATTTCCCTGTTGGATTTTTCAATTACATTACGAAGAAATACATCATTATGAATTGAATAAATTCCTTTGAACACCCAATGCATACAGTTGAACAAGATTATTTTTTACATAAAAAAATCGATACGTATGACAATTAGGAGGAAATTTCGTTGATCGGTTGTACTAAAAATTATGTATAGATCATCGGTTTATGTGAAATTCCAGAGAAATTGTCCTGAATAGAATGGAAATGACCATCGATTAATGGCAGCATCACAACTATTGATAACATGGTTGTCATATTCTCATTATATATAGAATATACAGTGTTATTAATAATAATTTAATAATTCTATGAAATTAACAAATCATCAATGTGAAGTGCTAAAAATATGAGAACAAATTTACATTCAATATCAATTGCAATTTTCTCATTATAACTGACAATTCCAACTATTATCCATCCAGAAAGTGTATAAAATTTACAAAAAAATGTTTTTATCTCGACTTAGTGTGATATTGATATTCAAATTGATGGATGAGCTTCAAGCCTTTTCCACCGTCAATAAGTCGAGCTGATTCTTTGATTGATAGATATGTTTAGATAGACTTTGTCGATCAATCGACGGATCAATTTCAGTTAATTTTCATTCCTGGTTTATCTCTGGATTTTTAAAAAGTCCTTCTTCATCAGAAAAAAATAGTCTATCATCGATATGTATCATAAATCTATCGCATTTAATTCCCATGCCTCATTTGCCAGAATATTTCCGCAAGGTTGAAAAATTATTATACAATAAAATGAATACCAGAACAATCAGAGATGATTGAGAAAGATGAAACAGACTTTGTTCTATTCATTTCTTTTTTACATATAATTTCAAGCTAACTCCAAGCCTTTTGACTAGCTCTGATATGTACCATAATTGCCTCAAATCATTGCCATTTTCTTCGCGTTCAACGATCTTATAAAAAATCATTTATATTCACTTTCGTTCTCCCCAACCTGCACTGTTATAAAACCACGAAGAGGTATTCTCGTCTCGTGTTTTGCTCCACGTGTTGTCAAGACTACTAGCTCCGGTATCCTGAAAAATTTCCAAATATAAGTGTCATATTGACACAATAAAATTGTCAAAAAGTTGGTTACCACAACATTTAGTTGATGAGGAGCTGGCGAAAGGTACTCCATGTTCGAATAATATGACGAGTAATTCTGATAACACTGTTGCTGAGAAGCTGTGGTTGTCCATGCAAGCCTCTGATGATCTCCAGGAAATGTTCCACTATTTTCTGTTATCGCCGGACTCCAGATACTACTGCTACTACCACCACTGCTGTAAACTGTACCGCCCAGCTGCAAAATAATAATAATTTGAGCTAAAAGATAGTATTTTTGTGCTGCAAGTGATAATGCATCTTTTTCAACAGCCAGTAATAAGGAATGTTATAGATAACTTACACTAGGTGGTGTAGTACTTGCAGCAAACAATAATCCGGTGGCGCCACCAGCGGGTTTATATTGAGGAGAGTCCCTCAAAAGAGTTGGTGAACTCGCGGCCGAACCTGCAGTACCACCACTTCTATTCAAATATAACACAAGTAATAGCATATTTATTAATTGAGCATTGAATTATTTGGCAGCAATAAAGAAATTCAAAAGCGAATCCCCTCTTCAAATTGATTTTTTCTCAATTCTAAGATAATTAGAGAAATTTTTTTTATCAAGTTTATGCCAAATAACAAGCTGGTTTACACCCTCGAACCGTAACTTGGAGTATTCCAGCTCTAACAGGTAGCCAATTCTAAGTAGAGATAATCTTCGGGTTAAAGTCCAACGTATATCCTGAAGCCTCGGAATTTCTTTATTCACTGTACGCACAGAGTATTACCCAGGACCCAGGACCCAAGACCACCTTCAGCGAGGATCTGGCCCTTTTTTTACATCGATATTCCATGTAGTTTAATAACAAAAGGGTAAATGCCAGCTTAAGTATGAGGAACAAAAAAAAAAGAAGGTCTTGTAAAAGAGATGAAAGTGAATGGGTGTTTTGAGTAAGGAGAGGCCGAAAAATGAATTGAGGATGAAAATGAAAATATTTTAGAAAAACAAACTCACAGTGGTGTCGTTGCTGGAACTGCCGCTGATGATGTTGGGGTACTAGCTATCGAAGGACTTTTCCCCGCCGTAGGGTTGCTCACGGGGTTACCGGACGGCTTTTTCGATCGTGGGGCTTTCTCTTGGGCTTGCTGTTGTTGCTTTTGTTGTTGTCGACATTTTGCGCGACGGTTTTTAAACCACACCTGCCGCAACACAATTTCATTTGTTTATCAATAAAAATTATAATACTTTGGTTACAATAAATTTTTCCATTCAGTTTTATTTTGCTTTGTTTAATTTTTTTTTTCTTCGTATATGGCAATTAATGTGATAATTGAATCATTCAAAATCTTTAAATTTGAATAATGCATTTGAATATTGTCAATTAGTCCACACGTTTTGGACTCATTAATAAATTTATTTATTTACTTGGGAAGACACGTTTTTGGTCTCAGTGTAATGATGATTGATTCCTTCAACAGCTTGACAAAATTCTCTTGTTGAGAACACAAATGAAGGAGAGCCGCTGGGAAGCCTTTTGCGATCAATGTGAGACCGAGTGTGACAAGCTTAGGTTTCTCAGGATTTTATTTCTGGTGAACAGCGCATATCTAACCACGACTCCGCGCATTTATTTTTACTCAAGTTTTTCCCTGTAGTGCATTAAAAAATAGTATATTGACAGACTTGATGGTGAATGTCATTACTAACGAATGTATAGATGTAAAATAACCAGCCCGGTGTCTCCCGGCAATAAGACTTTTTTATCCAGAATTATTTTTGAAAAAGGATCATAAAAAGAAATTGACGTTGAAACGTGCACGAGACTATGAGATGGTTGCTATTCAGTTCAAGGCCAGGTGTTGAGAGAGCAACTAATTGCAGACACGGCTGGTTGTCCTAGCGGGATTGTTTTTGATGAGGGCGGTCATATGCGTATCCACGTCTGGGACGGCCAGGCAAAACTGGTGTGACTTGCTACCCCCATGAAACCATCAAAGGCACGAAATTCCTTCAAATAGCCAACACAATTATTTGTATTTGGTTAGAAATTTTTCCCTTCAACTGCTAGTCTTTTCATTTTGCCGTGCGTGTCAAAGTCAAATACACGTACCAGTCATTGTTCGTAAAATTCCAAAGAAGAAAAATATCGGCTATGAAACAAGTCGAATACACTGGAATTTCACATTGACATTTGTCATTTCCAAAAATTTCATTAATTCAACATGGCAAACGTTTTCAATTAAATAAATTTCAAATTAGCAAATTGACATTATGACATATATCAGTTGTAAAAATATAACAATGATAAATAGTGAGCCTTTTAAATGAAGTAAAATGTTGAAGTGATCCCGAACACGTGATAGTGAGCACGTGTGTATCGAATATCGCCTAATCAAATTAACCGACGGTCACATAAAAGTAAAAGAGTATATAGAGTAGATGATACTGAGTGCAAGCATTGATTTCTTATTCTCGACATGCCACCACTGATCGGAGCCCTATCCCCCAAGGGTAACCTTGCATTGTCGTAAAATTCTATACGTTTTCCACCCAATAACTGGTCGTCTTACACTTCTCGTCATAGCTCACGTTACGAGTAACTCGAAACCATCACGATTTACACTAGCCTGCACTGTAACTTTGACTTGTAACTTTGGTGAATTGCTACGATATGGTACATTGAATTGAGATGAATGGATGGACTTCTCGGAGATGCAATGGGAATAGTCATTCTTCCCGGACTCTCTTTTTTTCTCCACACCGTCAAAAAAAATACAGTGTAATTTTTTAAGAGGAAATGGCTTCGAAAGGGATTTTTTTTTCATTTGGACGAGTGAGACGATGCACAAATGCCAAAATAAATTTTAATCGACGTTCACCTCATATAGGTAATAGCAATTTACCTGTACTCTGGATTCAGGTAAATTTATCTTGACCGCTACCTCCTCCCGCATGAATATGTCCGGATATCGAGTCTTGGAAAAAAGCCCCTCAAGTATATCGAGCTGTGCCCTACTGAACGTCGTCCTCTCTCTCCTCTGTTTTCTCGGATTACCTGTGAGAAAATGAAAACAAGACCTGAGATTCCAATTGCTTAGCTATCTGTTGTACTCAGCAAAACAGCAAGTTGATAAGTGAAATATTAATAAAACAAAATATTCAATCACTCACAGTAGTACGACTCACCGGCGGGACTACAACCGGGATAACCGATGGTGCCGTGGAGTGCCTCGATTGGTGGCATTCCCAATGCCCCAACGTAAGGAGATGACTTTAGAGCACCGTATGGATTTGTCGCGGAGCCGCCAAAACCCGCTGGGCCAAATAAATCGGTGGGCGATGTTGTTGATGCTGCTGTTAAACCACCAAGATCAGCTCCACTTCCACCCCCACAACCAGCCGCTCCACTGAGGCTGTTCGGCCACATTGCCACGTTGGGCCACCACTGCCACAGTAGTAACCAATTTCAACAGCTCCCCTCGATGATTAAATAACCCTTGAATCGGCGTTTTTTCTCACTTCCTTTAACTGCAATCATCATTCATTTTCATCACCATACATTGTATTATATTAATTCAACTATTCAATAAATTTCTTATATATCCTTAAACCCATCTATAAGACAGACTTTTTACATGACCAATCTAATATGATACAGATGGGAGACAGCTGACGTATCCGACAAGCGTTTGCGGATAATCTGTGGATGGAACTCGACGCCTCCCAAGTCTTTCTCACATAGGAGCAAATTCATAAAAAAAAAAAAAAAAAAAAACAAAACAAAATAAAAATGAAAAATGAGTGAGCAACACATCCATAGGGAACATGGACAAACGCCACCAAGGAGTCGAAACCTAAGACACTCACTCACTCGTTCCACCAGCTATCGCTCCTACACCTCTTAAACCGTCATTTATTATCCGCTCATATTACAGATACGCCGTTGTTCTTCAGAGGCCTCCGCATTGGCCCCTCCTGCTATTTTATTAATTTTTTTTTCTCTTATACCGTTCGCCTCTGATATCTATATACGTAAAATGGAAAATGGCTGGATGTACTGTTACATCCCACCCACCATTATTATCATCCACCACCTGTTTTGGATTAACTGTGACAATTTAATTGAATAATAATTAGTGTCTGGTGGTAAGTGAAGCACAACAACGTGCAAATAAAAGATGTTAAATCCTATTTATCTGTTGGCCAATCAGAGCTTGCTTGACGTGTAACGTGTATATATATATGACATTTTCTATGGTTTTATAATTGTAGTATGTGAGAGATGAAGTTTTATCTGAAAATCCTATGAAATACAAGGGATTAAATTTTTTCAAGCTTTCAAAAAAATATATCAACATTTCATCATACATTACAAATGTAAAAATACTGGGGGGGGGGAAAGCATCGAACATTTGTCGTGAAACCACTTGCTACCACTTCCATCGTCTACACAATTTCCTTCAATAAAGACCCTACTCGCAAAAATATCTCGAAAGTTCTCCCCATTCCCATTGCAATAATCCATTGTTTCAACCCTCGAAAGCTTAGAGCATTGAGAATTACAAAAAAATGAGTTTTTCACGGCTGGTTGAAGTTAGAAGTATTCTCTCCTTGTGAGTGAAATTCTCTGACGCTTTTATGATTGTGCACCTAGACAAAGCATAGCCGGAGAAAAAATAGGGAAGAAATGGGGGTTCGACCGCAAATGTGGACCACCCACTCGATAGGTCGACAAGAGAGCACTTGTGGTGAGGGCTACAGACGTATTGGGGACCCCTGGGGGTCCTCCCCACCCGCGCACATAACCAATCGATTCGGCTATCTCTCCAGGGCCTGTCCTGCCTCCGTCTAGGTAAACACTTTGTGTTGCTCATGGGGTATGAATATATGCCACCCATCCTTAATGACTGCTAAATCCCCTATTATTACGCACTCGTACACAAATGAAAATAGACGCACATAATGCACCGAGGAAAACCTGAATATCTGGCTAATCGGAAATCATTCTTGAAAATGCTTTGCAGACAAATGTTTTCAAAAGTGCAAAAATCAAACATTTATTTTGGCACTTTAAAATCTCCACATCGACTCTCATCATCAAATCCCATTCTCATTAAATTTCTTTTTACTCACAATTAAACGACTGAAACACCAATAGACAGAAAGTTTTTACCGTATTAATTGTTGGAGGCAATTGATTTTTCAAGTATTTACACACCATTCTATTGTTCCCCAAGTATAATCGACTGACCCTTTCAAGTGAGCGTATCAAATATATGCGAAAAATGAATAGCCGTCGTACTGGCTAAAATGAACAGCGAAAATCATTCGAAATACGAACTGAAGACTAATTAATTCAATAAAATCATATTTCAAACATCTCAATTCATAATGAGAAAAATAATTGAAAAAATAATTGAATAGCAAATAATAAAATAGCAAAGTTTTAAGGAAAATGTCAACGTAATTAAATGACAATTTCCCTCTACCAGCAAACTTGTATATCACCTAAATAGGAATGCAATTCAAAGAGCATCGAGGCAACATTGGAAAGATGGTTCTGGCCTGAGAAAGCTCCCTCCAATATATACATAAATACCGACAAGAAGTAAAGGTATCGGTATTATGAGGAAGACATTGAAAGCACACGCGAAACCATCTCCCTTCCATTCATTCTCCCAATAGTCCCCAACAACAATTCAACGCAACTCAACCTGTCTATCCCGTTTGTTAAACGCTCATTGAGCGTAAAACTTAATTCTCGTGAAAATTCAATGAAAGGACCACTCTATCTTTTTTAAAAGTTAGTTCTACCTTCTTATGTATTTTTTTTTTCTATCGTTATATTCGTTCCGGCTCAATCTATACTCGACTATAACGTTTTTTCCTATTATTATATTTTACGCTCGCGATATTTTATTTTTTTCTCTGTTGCATTACGTGGTTCAAGTGATGTTATGCCCATTGTACCCTTCTTCCTCATTCCAATATGATTGAGTTTTTTATTGCATACATACAATTTATTCGCCCACGATGACAGAACATAAAATGGCATTTTTTATGAGAAATTTATATGAGAAGAAAATGTCCAATACGACGAGCGAAAATTTGGATAAAAAATAAAAAAAAAACAAAAAACAAAAAACAAAGAAGCAATCGCCAAAATAAAATTAGCTTCCATTCGAGGATATATCACCCTAACAATGATGATCATGAAGTGACGGTTCAAAAGTTGATCTTTATCACACGAGGCTGACGATTGTTTATGCGACATGGTGAACAAAAACAGAGACAACAGAAAACAACAAAGAAAGAGAAAGCGGACCTCGACCTCGGAGTGCTATATACTGCGCGCACCACGACGAGCTAGGGCATGCCAAGAAGATTACACTAAGCTGATTATTTTCGTGGAAATCCTGCTGGCCGAGTCTCTCCTCACGTCATATGACACACAACTCTCGCGCAAGTTAGATCTTACCCAGCATCTTCTTTTTGTCCAATTGTTTTGTTGCCGTGATCCAGACGCCTTTGCATATTATATGATGTTCACTCCGGTGAAGAGAATTCAACAACCATTTATGTAATAATAATAAGTAAGATAGGTTTAAATATTACAATTAAAAGCAATATTGAACTATTATTGAATTATATTGAATTATCGGCAGTCATCTTAGTGAGAGAATTATCATAAACAAGATGTGAAATTTTTTTAGTCTCAATGGGCTTTGATCTTGCCAATGAACTACGGTATAGCTATACGGTATCAACAAAGTTCGATGAATCTGTAGTAGGTACTTTGAATCGATATTAAAAACTCGTCTTTCACATTGTTCACATTAACAAACCATCAAACATTCATCGTGGAGTTGACCGCACTGGACAAATCCATCTGACCACAACCACGTAAACGCATTCTATGCCATTCAATACCGTTCAACGTTAATTGCGTATTCACAGTTTAATGCATATTTGTGATTAAATAATAATGAAAAATTATCCGAATGTGCCAGTGAATGGGCACGATGAAATCGCCACAATCTTCAATAGTTTCACCCTGCAGTCATTTAAACTATTCCAATATGATTGAGAATTTCACCCGCAGTGAAATCACACTGCGTTAAAGCCAGAAACTCTTCACAAAATGGCGCCGTCAATATACTTTTTTTTTTTTTTACAAAAAGAAGATAAAATAGAATAAATCACCTGTTATATTCCTCGTCAATGAAAATAGCAGTGTTGTAAGTATTTCACAGAGCAATAATCCAGGAGTTTATATTTATTGCACTAGGAACATGTTCGTAACCGATGAAGAAAAAAATCAAGTATATTCACTTCTTCATAGCACTGATAAAAAGTAAAACTTCACCTTTAATAACGATTATAAAAACTGAACTTTTTCCCACACTGGTGATACTCGTGTTCTCATTAAAATGACCAATCACTTTGAGATTGGTGGTTGGATTTGATTGGGGGGTGAAAGAGGCTGGATCTTCGGTGCCATTCAACCAATAGCACAAAACACAACGAGACCAAATAAAAATTCCAAACCAAATAAAATTCAAGTGTCATCAATTGTTATGAATAGTGGTGAAGTAAATTGATGGATAGCAGCCAATAAAACTTTTGACGGGTAAGTTTAGTTGTTACGGTATCTCACCGTTGCGGGGTTGCCGTTCGCGAACGGGTGGCAGCAGCAACAACAGCAGCAGCAGCAGCAGCGGCGGCGGCGGCGCTGTTGGTGGTACAAGAGGGTGTCGGTGAGGGGAAAATAAACGATATATGCAATAGCAGCAGCAGCACACCTTGGCTCCATGGGTTCTCTCTTCTTCACGTCAAAACGTATAAACCCCCCAACCGAATAGCGGAAGGTAAAATGGAATTGGGCGTGTGCAAGTTACGCTAAAGGCGTCGCGTGTACTACGCAACTTTTTGCCGCGTGGTGGGGAGCCAATAGTGGATGGTGGATGGTGGATGGTGTGCGCTGGCGCTGGCGCGTCAGTCTTTTATACAAGTACAAGTACAAGTATATCGATATATGTAGTCGACTGGTGGCAACTGGCAAGCCCAAGGGTATTGGGGATTTTCGAGTTGACTGTATACCAGATCCGGTTCCGGAATACTCTCGACGCCAACTCCACAAGACTCGTAAACATTCGACCCCACCATGGATTACGAGCTATTGCATTCTTGAGTGCATTCAATTACAGGACCATGGAATGTTATAATTATTCGAGTTTATATTGGTTGATTATTGGAAGATTGGAAGCATTGGGCTATTCTCATTGCTTCGGCACTTATAAACTATTTATCATAATATCATTATTCATATAATATTATATATATATAATATAATTAATTGAAATTTCCTTTGGATGTGCTGTCGATTAATCATTTTTACATCTGCAATCCTAATGAAATCTATTTAATAATATATACTCAATAAAAATATTGAGTATATATATATGTCAAAAAAAAAAGCAAGGTCCACCCATGAATAGCGTTCAATGTGGTGTATCATCAGAGGTTGTCCTCTTTACTTAAGACCCACCCCTATAATTATAGACTAGGGCAGAGAGAATGCCCGCGGTTGCCCAAGATCACGACCAATCATCAGCGCTTCACCATTACAACCTGTATTTCTTCAGAGAAATAGGCACTAAAAATGTCAACCACTGGCATTTAAAAAAATGCCATTTGGATAGTCCACAAAATACACCGAGTCATTGATATTGACAATTATCGATATAGAAGAAGAACGTTTTATTAGAGTAAATTGGTCGTGAATTTATGAATGGGAGTTCCCCGCGTGACTAAAGTGGCGTCACTTTGGTGCAGGTTTATGAAAGCAAGCTGGTTTTAGCCTACGCTAATAGTATAGTAATACGGGCTGATCTTTTCGAAATCCCGTAAGAGCATTAACCGCTCACACGTGAGCAAGTTAAATTGCTATGTTGTTGGGTTTATGTGTATTTGGTATCCTGTATCTCACTAGTGCAATTCGCCATTCACAAGTTACAATATTTGTATCATCCGGGTCTCGATTCCGTACTCAGTGGGTCAATTTTAACAAAAACATCAACTATTGACAGGAGACTATACGAGCAAAAACAACCAGTACCTCCAAGGACTCTAAACACTCTCGATACCGCTAAATTTTTTATGACAAGCTAATTACGTCCCCGTATTCATAAATTTATTCATGTATCTATTCAGTGAATGCGTATTCTCCGTATAACGATGACAAAGGAATTACACGAATTTTGGTCTGGCAGAGGTATCCAATCCTTCTGTTGTTATATCGGACTATTCCAATCGGTTTTTTGTCCCCCGAGTATTACACGGCAGAAAAGATCAATGGAAATTCGGATTGGCGGCCCCGCGGGGGAGAAAATATATATATATAAGTACACGGCAGGTAACGATATTTTACAGAAGCTTTAAATTCAAACTGTTAACCGTATAACGGATGATTGTCAGGTTCTTGACATGGCGGTTCAATACGATAGATATAAGGCCAAATTAATAATTCATTTCTCCAGAATGAACCACCAACTCGGATGCCTGAACCTGTTGCAGAGTAAAATGCACAGTACGATATTGAATACGCTCCTATGGGAATAAGATGACCAGCATTATTGTTACAATCTATGAAGAGATGATGTCAGCTTCTGCCCACATTCTTTTTATCGTGCAAGTGACACTTCGGGGAGAACTCCCCATAATCAATCATGATCAATAGCCGAATGTCAAAGTAGTTCATTGTTGGTGTTCTTTCTCACAACGAAAGAAAGAACTCTTACTCTCCGAGTCTATCAAATCTTGCTTTATTTTTTTCGCAGTATTTTATTAAGTCATCGTGACACAGGTGAAAGGAGATGGGAATTTCTTGGAAAAAAAGGGAGAATTCCATATATATGTATTATAAAATAATGTGAATCTCATTTTATTTAGAGATCCGAACAGCGTAAAATGGTGCTATAGGAAAATCAGTGTACGTGATATATACACTCATTTTATCCGATCAACAATTTTCTTTCTGGGCTTTGTCTATCTAATCTATACTTGTCCCAAAATATAGCATCAAGATGAAGGACCGAGCGGACATTACTAGGACATTTCATTCGCTGGACGGAATGGATATCTCGACACAAATCGTTGAATGATACTCTAAACTGAGTGAGACGAGGAAGGACCAGAGAATATACATATAGTATGGGGATAAGCTCAATACAGTGGTATTTCTCCGATGTTATACAAAGCCATATACCGAGCCCTTTATATATACAACATATTATCGGGAGTTTCTACAATAGCCATGTGCAAAATCTTTAAAAAAGTGAAAATATTTTCATTTTTCATTAAAATTTCTTTTTTTTTTATTTATTGTTTGAAAATTTAATAGTCAAGTATGATAATAATAAAGCAGCCAAGTGGGGGTAATGAAAGACTATACAGAGGAAAAGAAAGAAAGCAACAGACGGATTCCATTTGCCGATGGGACCTCCCAAGATTTCCCATGGGAGTTGGCTATTAACGATCACAAATAGGCTATTACATAGCCATTAATACAATGCTGGTGGCCTAGCTGCCAGGCACTAGGACTTTTGCAGAATGGGAGGGGTGACGAAGGGTGAATTGCGCTGACGAGTCGATAGAGCGAGATGGGTGAAACACCCTCTGAATGCATTCAAGAAAACAAGAATCTGCCTGTGGCTTTGAATCGCCTCCATACGCGCCGCGGGGACATACACGCGCGTCTCGGTGTAGGGTTTCGATGCATCCCCAGAGATTGAGTAATCCGAGATTCACTTTGTGCTCCGTGAGTTTCTCTATAAATCCCCTTGGAATGGAAAAATTGGAATTTTTCAATCATTAGTTTTTCAGCAGCTAAAATCCCTAATCCAATTTCTATCCTGCAATTAGCAACAACATATTTCTTCCAATACTATTTTATTTTAATGACAAAATCATCTATTTACTATTTACTAGTAGTTATCAGTAGAATTAAAATGAGTGTGAAACATTGCTAATTGGTGATAAATTATTTGCTAATTCGTATCCCTCTGTTAAATAATTTATAAATATAATAAATTACAGGAACAAAGGGGTCAATTATTGTGGAAATTGTAATGACGATGAAAATATGAAATTAAATTTTTCATGAGATCGAACCGGTGGTTTTTCTCTTTTCAACATCCCTGAGGTTCTTTTGGATAGAGCAATGGCTCATAAACCAGCATATATATATAAAGGAGGTACATAAAGGAGGGCAGAAGCAGTGAGAAAGAGAGAGAGAGAGAGAGAGTCGAGTGGAGTAGGAAGGTATATGATGATGGATACATATAGAAGAGAAGGGAGAAACAAGTAGGACTCGGGGGGGGGGGGGGGGGTGAGTAACGAGGAGAGGGGCAATCGTAAGCGGCTTACGCCCGCTCTGGAACGGAAAGCGACTCCGCTAATTATTTATAGGACCCTCTGGGCTGTACTCTGGGTTCTGCCTCTCGTATACCCAATAGTGAAATATCCTGAAAAGATAGAAAAACCCGAAGAGGTCCTACCCGTACCTACACCCGTGGGTCTTATTCGTATACAAGCGCTCTTCACTCTATACAATTTTTTCACCACCTTTTACTTTCATCTTTTTGGGAGACAATCCATCTACAAGTGTTGCTATTACCACTCATTTTCACAACATTTTGCCCAATTCGAACCCAATTATTCATATAGTTTCTGTAAAGATGATTGAACGAAAAACGACGTTGCCCTCGAAGATATCAGTATAAAATAATTACTCGTTGGATTCTCACGAAACTCGTCACATTATATTCATCGCTATTCAATCAAATTTTCAATAAAAATATCTGTATTCAATTTATAATCTATATATATATATAAAAAAAAAAAAGATAATCTATCGATCTAGCATGTCGAAAGGACACTCGATGGGAAAACGAAATAAAAAGGGAATAAAGCTGGAATAGTGAGCCATGTAGTCAAGAGGGAAAAGCGGAAACTGAAGGTCCATTTTTTAGGATTACCGAGCGCGCTCGGGGAAAAAAGTGGGCGCTGAAAACCCAGACTGGAATATATTTTATTCTATATACGTGTGTGTTTATTTGGATGAAAAGGACGCTCTCATCCCTCAACAATGCACTCTCTCGCGCACCCCCTTGACTTCCTGGCGGTCTCCACTGATCTATTTCATCCTCACATTCTCTCTATCTTATTTTTCTCACGTATTATGTATACCTGAAATTCGACCCAACATCCGCTTGTTTTTCACGAGCATTTTTAAAAAGCAATTGGTCGTGTAATTTTCCTTTTGCACATGTTTTTTTTTTTATTTATGTCCATTTCTATTTTTCCTTTCTCTCGAAAAAATCTTTCGACTTTCCTCCAAGAGTACATTAAGGGGCAATGACTCTTAAAAAAATTTAACGCTCGAGAGGAGCCGAAAGATCAAAGTGGAGCACCCCAATTCATGCAAGTCGGCAGTCTCTGATTTTTTAATTCGTTCAATTACATTCACTGATTCAATTTTATGCCACTAAATTTTCGCATTCTCTCTTTTGCGGTCACGACAGCAGTTAACAATCATAATCTGTTTATGATCGGGAGTAGTTTGAAAAAAAAAAACAAAAAAAAAAATTGAAAAATTCACAGAGAAAAGGGATTGGTTTTTTTCTGTTGGGGGAAAGGATTTTTAAGCATAACAGCGTGATTTATTGGCGTTTAAATTTTTACAGGATTTTTCAGTTAAGTCAATTGAATTGAATTTGAAAGATTGAGACATTTTTTTTTGTATATATAATAGCAATAATGGTGGATGGAAATTTAAAAGAAGGTAATTGGCTACCTGACCCTGTGACACACTGTGAGTTTCGGCATGAGCATCATCCGTAGAAGCTGTGCCAAGGTGTTATAGGTAATGGGATCCGCCGACTGAGTACAAGCCGATTTTAACTCTTGGAGCTTTATTTGGCCAAATTCAGGGTCATGCTAATACACTGTCGGATAGACAATTGACTCATTCAAGTAATTTGAATTTAATTTTCAAAACATCGTTGAGCTCGATCACTGCAACTTTAATATGAAATTATAATGGTGTTCCGACAAATTCTATTAGTTGCTTGAATTGTTGTATCATTCATAATGATGCAATAGTTAGCTGTTAGTAAGAAGGTAGTATAGTCCCAGGAGGAGAAATCACTCTATATCCAGAGAATGTGTATCTTCATGTTCAGCACGCGTATGCAGACCACCATGATTCACCTTGTTAGATAACACTCGCAAACAAAGAGACTCACAATTCAAAGTTTAACAGAATAATATAAACACACCAATTAGTAAACTAGAAAAGAATCGGAGAGTGGAGTACCGAGGGCCGAGTTTTATAGGGGAAGTTCCCCTTTGGGCCACCTGCATCGAGCTAATGAACGAGAGTAAAGTGGTAGTATAGATAAAATCATAGGAGTCAGGGACGAATCAGTTAATCCTACCTCGCCCTCAAAGAAATCGGATTCAATGAAGCTGCCAGCGAAACTCCCTCATAAATGCTTTGGGTGAGGCACTCACATATTTTATCTTGCATTACCTCTCCCTATAATTTTTTTACAATATTACAAAATAGGAAATAATTTTTTTTCTCTCTTCTTCGTCAAGGGTAAATTTTTCCATATTCAACCATAAATGGTTATAAATGTTCAATTTAATTTTCACCTCCAGCAACCGAGCCAGCAACGCTCCTAATCATCAAAAGACTGCATTAGCAAAATTGATAGCCGCCAGCTATCCCATAACTCCCCATCAGTTTGATTAAGTCATGGAAATATTCCATCAGTGCGACACAATTACCTTGTGACTCACCTGTGAATGTTTATCCCTCAGGCAATATCAAATTAACCAGTTCGAATTGCCATCAGTCAATTGAATATGCCAACTGTCCAATGATGAAGGAAAAATTTTTTCATTATGGCTGTCGCCCGAAATGAGACGAAATTATTGAATAAACCGACACTTGAATTATACCATTTTGTGGATAACTCTTTCAATTGATTATTCACATTTTCTTATTTTCAATTGGATATATGGGTATATTATCCACCAGTGTATAAGAATGATATGATTAATTAATGTAGGTGATAAAACTTTTCAATAAATTAATTATGATTATTTTCTTTTATTATCATTTTTTAACTTGTATGAAGATATTTTTGTCTCTCTTTCAAATTGTTCTCTCATCTTACGCAACTCAAAAAATCGTTACGTATTATAATCATTTTAACTGATATATTTATGTGAATACAATTATGTACATTGGTGTCGAATTCTTATTATATAGATTTCTGCGGCTCCTATTAAGTAAATTTTCCGTTTTTTCATTACAAATCAAATGCTTAATGTCCAAAGTGCGCAGAGTATATCGTTAGTTAATTGTTAAATTCTCTCTCGCATGTATCTAGATCCTCTCATCAACACTATTCTACGCAATAATTTCCTTTCTCAATTAACAATTATTCTTTTGTATCGCTATTTGACGAATATAATATACAAATTTAATGATTTTTCTGCATACATGAAATATACATAGAAGATTATATGTTATCATTGTGATCCACTCATCGGTTTCCTCATCAATTATTACTAATCATTTTTCATCTTTCTATAATCTAGTTAAACGTTAACATATTCCATTTTTATACAGTCTATTCCACAGTATTCATCACGAGAAGTACTCATCAAATTCATTTAATTCTGTGTAATCCATGCTTGGATGACTGAAAAATGAATATTCCTCCTTTGTACTTATGAAGTGAAGATCTACAAATATCCGACCTCGAAGACTTAACAATTGTTTCATCAGTTCAAGTAAAACCTATTTGTCAATCTGATAAGTCAATGTTAAGACATCTCTTCAACATTCATTTATCTCCGTACGGTTGGATTTTCATTCAACTTGATCCATTAGAGTAAAATAATATTTACAATCTTGTAGGAAAATATTGAACAATAAACCATTTTATATATTGACACCAAAAAAAGTCAATGGAATAACGACCATAATAATACGAATAATAGTGAAAAAAATAATTTTGTTATTTTTCACATGTAAAAACATGCTCCATTCGAGAAAAAAAAAAAAATTATTACATTTACCCATATTAGTTGAGGCAGACAGATGATGAAAAATTCAATATCTGTTGTAATTATTAAAAAATTTATATTCGTCCATCGTCGTACATTCCATCAAGGGCCGAAAACAATGCGGCTCGTTTCTTCATTTCTCCCTATTGATCATTTTTTTTATACGTGTGCATATGTATGATTGTTATTTTTTATTCTTGGTGGATAATCGCTGGGCAGTCCAAGATGCATTAAAAACTATCTCAAATCATCATGACAGGGTGAGAAATTTCATAAACTCCTCGAAAGACTACCGATTCCTCCTTTACGACATTGTGATTGAAATCCACTGGTAAATGGAAAAAAAAAATCAATGTCATATTTTTCAGGCTTGATCGTGTTTTCCGGAAGCCACGAACCCTGAAATTGGCTTTCCATTTAGTGAACACAAGTTTCACAAGCTCTCCCGTAAAATATTGTCAAAGCCCATGGGATTAATTTGAAAACAATCGCGAAGAATGTCCAAGTTGAAGATGATCTATTGGAATTCAATGATCAATTGCCTGTAGATGACAGCCAAGTTGGGCCATCTCCATAACCCAAATGATAGCTCAGCATCATTTACACGAATTGCATTGTCCCGCTAGATATAAATGATAATGTGATAATATCATACTTAAACATAATTTTTTTCCTCTAATCGACTAGTTATAACTCCATCATAGTCCTTGGGTTGATACTTGATTTTCCATGGTGCGGCATAAGTCTTATGATGAACCCTCTGCAGGGCCTCAGTTAAATCCCTCGGCTGCTAAACCATTGCCTGATACTTCTGCTCAGGGAGAATGTAAGGGTCCGATGAATCAGCGGGTGATGATGTCATATCATTGACCGAGGCAGCATTAAGATGATGATGACCAGCTAAGTGTGACATGGAAGATGTTAATGTCATGCTGTGGTGATATTGTCCGTGATGATGATGATGATAATTACTCTGAGGACTATGATGCATGTGAGAGAGTTGGCTCTGATAGTAATCACTCGATGCGTAAGAGTTCTGATAGCTATTGTACGTCTGGCCCGGATAGCACTGGCTATTGACGGATCCTGGGGATGCTGAACTCCAGGGAAAACCGTAATCGCTATGATGAATTTGATTCATGGGTGGTGGGTAAGAGGATGGTGGTAATTGACTCGAGCCTGGTGTTAGCGGTGGTGATGGAGTTGTCAATGCTGAACTGGCATTACTTCCACCAGTTGGTGTTGCACCGAGTCTTGGATATGCTGTGTTACTTCCTACCAATGGTGAATTTGAGCCCGTGGCTTCTTTACCACGGGGTGACGAAACTGGTGATGAACGACGGCTCGGAGTTGCTGGATTATTCGTCAGTTTACTTGTTACGTTTTGAGACTGACTCGACGATCTTGGTGATGCTTTTGGTGGAGAGGTTTGGGCCTGTTGTTGTTGTTGTTGTTGTTGTTGCTGTTGCTGCTGCTGTTGTTGCTGCTGTTGCTGTCCTTGTTGCTGTTGCTGCAACTGTTGTCTGCACTTTGCCCGACGATTCTTAAACCAGACCTTGAATTTGAAAAAAATTTCCAATTTTAGACCAAATGATATTCCTTATAGTCTTAACGTTGCATTAAAGGTCCGTATGTAGAGCACCAACGGCAATAACGGTATAAATTGAAGGAAAGATGGTGATAAAAGGAGTTAAAGACTACCCATGCCCATCAGGCTCCCCTCTGGTTGAAAAAAAAAGAAAAAAAAAAAAATCCACACAACCGCACTGTGACGTTAGTGTAACAACAAATAGACGCTGTACCCCCCTCTGGTTTTTCACCATTGGACCGGCGGGCGGGAATATCTATGTGGCACGCTAAATCCACTCTCCTTTATTCATGTACACTGAGCATAAAGGAGGAAAAAAGAAGCATCTCCCCCTACCCTCTTCACATTCTATCCCCTGACATCGGCCTATGTATATGTATGCCGCAATCATGTACACCAAGGAAAGCACTACTATATTTCCCCTAGGGTATTATCCCTACGCAATACAATGTGACCAAAGGGGCGATGTCATGAATCTATGGTGGCTTCAAAAACCGGATCTATAAATTATTATTATTATTATTATTATCATCAGAGAATAAATCTTTTCTGCAGTGGATTGATTATAGGGTGATTGATCGTTGCATATATCATTTTTTTTTTCACTTAATAATTGCTAATCATTCCATTTCCTTATATGCTTACTAGTGCTAGTTTAAAAATGCTTATCAACTATTATCGTATGCGTTCATCAGCACAACCCTCACCTCCCTCCTCCCTCCACCCTCCGCACGCCCTAAAAAAACAGACCGCCTGCAGGGTTATTTTCACCCCATGTTGGTATAGTCTACAACTTATAGTTTACGCCCCCCGTTTATGCTGAGGTGCAAATTGCCGCCACCATCTGGTTTATATCCAATGATAACCAATTTTTTTTCCTATATCAATATCATTGTCATTTGTTATTATTCAATATATTATCTCTGATACTTTGACAATTAAAGGAGAATTAAGATACGAATGTCGAGCGGTTTTAGCATATATAATGTGTCTGAAGAACATATATAGGACATCAATGGTTAAAAATAATATAAAATGGGTAAAAATTAGAGAAATATTTGGCGTGGAAAAGGATAGAATTTTTTTATCTCTGTTGAAAAAAGTCACACATGTCTGCCTTCTTGTGCAACTCGGACGAAAAGTACATAACACGGGACTGAGGCAGAAACACAGCTGCATGTTGTATATATATATATCGAGGTCTCAAACTCTCTACGAGAAGAGAGGGAGGGTATATAGCACCGATGGGAGGGTTATAATCCACAAACAAATCGACTGTATGTCGTTCCTAACGTTTCAGTCTCGCTATTTTTTTTTTTTCCTCTACAAGCCCCCCCGCACCCCCCTTTTTCCACGATAGAGCCTTCAAATACAATTGGTCGTACGTTGGCGATGAAAGATGTGCATTACCCTGTGCTATCCACCTTTTTACCTCCTCCCTCTCTACGTTCTCTTGTCTGTGAATCTCAATGGTCCTTTTCTAGTCTTTTGAGCCATTCAGGGAGGCTTAACTAGGAGTTAGAATTTTGGGGAATGAAAATCATTGATGCTTGGGGTTTGATGTGCAGGCCATCATTTTCAAGATTCACGATTCCTTATTAATTCGGCATAGAATAATTCTTGAGGGAAAAATTTTTCTTCATTGTGAGTAAAAGCCATTTGATTCGGACGTTGTTGGTGAACATTAAATGATCAGGTAAGAAAATTGAAAAACACCAACAATGAAAAATGAAGAGAGACGGCCATAAAAAATATATATGCAATAGTTATCATTTGATTTTGCTTTGACTTGTAATAATATATACAAAAGCCTGTGTGAAATGGAGATGTTACGGAGACCGCAATAAAAATGTCAAGGAGAAAAGGATACATGGGTCAAGGCATCTATCACCGCCTCTCCCTCTGTTCTGCGGTGCAATAGGGGGCACAATGGAGAGGGTGTGAGACGATGAGTAGTTGGAGGTTTGTGTAAATACCTCAAATCTCGACATCCGTTGCTTCGGCACGAATCGTCAACCACACCAAACGTTCATTTGCTTTTTCCAAACTATCATGATTCATGCAGGAGATGGAAGTTGCATTGATATGATGGATATAAATTGAAGAGAGAAATTTTTTGCTCTACGTATAAGGTTAGTAGTCCAAAAAACATAAATAACATATTCCAAGAAATGAAAAAAACGTTAGGATTCAGTTACCTGTACTCTTGATTCCGGCAAGTTGATCTTCATGGCCACCTCCTCTCGCATAAAAATATCAGGATATCTAGTTTTGGTAAACAGTCCTTCAAGTACATCCAACTGCGCTCTACTGAATGTTGTACGTTCCCTTCTCTGTTTACGTTGCGCTACACCTGAAACATAAATTAAACAACATTATAAATATATTTATTATAGGAGAAATATAAAGTTTCCACGTGTGGACATGTCGAAGGGGTGGCCATGGTGCGATATATTTTCAATAGTGAGAATGCTCCTATGAAAAAGTATTAACGTCCGGAGGGCTGTGGGTGGTGTGGGTGGTCGGGGAGAAGAGTAGCAAAAGCGTGGTGAGGTCGCGATAGCGTAATTTTTAGTCTACGTCCCTTTGCCCAAACGCACCATCGAGCCTTGTTCTGGTCGTTTCGGATCCCACGTAATCCGCTTATGAGGAAAAGGGGGAACCAAGTATGGGGGTAACTCTCACTGAAGACAAAAAAAAAAAAAGAGTAGGGTCACTCTAGGTACATTCTCATGAAGTTAGTCTCTGGTGGCTATGGGGCTTTCAGCCAGCTGGCTCTTCAACTTGGGTTCCTCGATCCAGAAGAAAGGCGGATCGAATATTTGGAGCTCATGTCAATGACATATTAGGTTTTACTCGTTTTTGATGAGAATGAGGAGAGACGATAAGTCTGAGGGTAATGGAACGAGGACGCCATCGAAATGGATTTATTTTTAGATCAAGTCAAATTTTCAGCGGATGAAATAAATGAAGAAAACACAGCTCATTTCAACTTTGACAACTTTCAAGTCACAAGGTGTGTTAATTCATAATATCGAAAATTCAATTGAATTTTTGAGGGTTGATGATTTGCGGAGGATTCCACTAGCGGAAAATAAAGAAAATCTGTAAAAAAAAAATTAACCACCCACACGCACCAATCAATCAAAGATCAGTCAGTTACATTGTCTGGAAAAGAATTAGCGAGATAAATATCGTAGATTAACTGGACCTGTATCTTCTGATGCAGTACAGTATCTGCATCTCAGTAAACAAGTTAGTTAGTCAAAGTCTTGAAGGTAGCTCTCCACGCACGCACTCCCAAATTCGTATATTTTTCTTTTGTGTAATTTATTTAATTTATGGATTTTTTATTGTCACTATGCAGTGCCTATCCAAGGAGATAATTGGAAGGTGGGGTTTGCCAACATGGCCGCAGAAACCAGGAGCATCGATCGACCCGTAAACATTGCCATTGTGTGCTCCTCACCTTCATTCCTCCACTCATTATGCAATTGAAATTTATTGCTCATTCACCATCTCCCCATATATAATAATTTATAATATTCCAGTAGTCTAAGAATTGAGGAAAATTGGGTTGATATGTGTACTTGACTGGAGAAATGGTATATGTAGCGCCTAATGGCTCGGTAAACAGCCACTGGCGTATAGTCCTATACTAGTATGATTCGATTTGTTATCGTCGACGCATGTGTTATAGGGCGCTTGAGGGAGGGGCTATATACAAGGGGGTCACTACGCGGCTCATTGGCCTGCAATGAGATCAGACAATGATGGTTTTATATCCCTCTTTGCCGCCTAACGAGTGAATATTCTATTTCATTTCCCATGTTTATTGGATTCTTATACTCACTAAAGATATCCCTCGGATTTGATGATCCAATCACTCAAAGATTTAACGAGTCAAAGAGTAATTGAATTACTAATCTCATTGTATTGTAGGTGAAAGCGAAAAGCTTGCTCATATCAAAAAATTTCCCTTCTTCCCTTTCTTACCTCACACTTGAATGATGAAAAATTAACATTTTATTGATAACACCACCATGTCAAACCACCACTTTGCTTCATCACAACAGCATTGAATTCCAAATATATTCATATAGAATGCGAGAGGCGATGGAAGTAACTTGAAGAAGCAGATGAACAGAGTGGCATTTCAGAGTCAGAAGAGAATGGGAAATTAATTAAAAGCTGAAACGCACCGCCAGCCATGGCAGATTATTAGGGAAGCCGTGGGATGACAGGCACGTGCCCATCGTTCACTACTCTCCCGGCCCCTCCTCTTATTCATATAAACACTCTGTCGTTTTGGGGGAGGGGGTGGCTAGCACGTACCCGGAAAACCTTATCGAAAGCCCATCACTTATCAAAACATTTCGTCACCTCAGCTATCCTTATCCTCACATAATAATAATAATAATAATAATAATAATCTTAAAAAAAAAAATCATAGTGTCCTTTTTTTTCAACCTCTGGCAAATCTTTCATTTTAATCGAGAAAATTAAAAAAATTCGAAACACCATGCCAAATTCTTCACAACATTATATAGTGCTATCAAATACAACATCCATTGGCAATCTTTGAAATTCATATGAGTGAAGTGAAAATCATAGTCTCCAAATATTTATACATGGCCCCGAAATTGATACATATCTCCAATAATAAACAACGCAACAATTCACTTAGCCTCAAGTGTTTATCCACCAATTAGGAATAGATTTATATTTGGTTACGGATTCTCCCCTCTTCATCTTTCATTTGCAGCCTCGATTTTCCCCTTGGCCACCCACCCGATATCGACACGCGTAGATAAACTCCAAATGGTATATTTGCGTTAGCCGAGAAAGAAGGGCCCTCGTTTTCGTTACGTGGTCAACTTGAGTAGTTAGCCTATACTCTCCTCTTGACACGCGCCAAGTCACGCGCCCAGGAGAGAAAAAAATAACACTAATTGAGTGATTGCCTCCATAACAGAAGCGACAGGTTTCTTGTTGACTGGGATATCTATGAATGCCTTATTGTCACACTTTTCATGCACATTATTGACAAAAAAAAAAAAAGAAAAAAGAGAAAGAGAAAAAAAAAACGAGCAATGGGCAATGCAAAGTTATTGGCTATGAATTGAGAAGAAATGAAAAAGAATTTGATGGAATATTGAATATGAAGCTATAATTTTTAGCAGTATATTAAGCTTGTCAGGCCAAAGTAAAGGAAAAAGTGAAAAAAAAAAATGGTAAACTTGACAAAAATTGTTTTCTCTCGACGCATATATTTTGATCCCTCAATGGCAAGATGGATGCTATTTGGTATAGCTTTAAAAGTGGCTGCCATGCGTAGAAAGCTGTATATAGCGGTGTATGGCGACGATAAAAGAAGAAGAGGAAAGACAGGGCTGAGGGGAAACTACTCTCAGAGAGGAAATGCTGGATCGTGCCGTGTTTCCATGGAAACTCTCTGGGCGATAAGCGTTGGTTGGTCCCGCACGGCCTGCTGCCACCCTGATAAGCGGCTTACTCTATCTGTCTTTCCTTCTCCTCTCTCCTATATACCTCTCACTAACGCTAACCCCTCCCACCATCAATATACGCCCCATGTTATAACGTTACTATATACTTCTATCATCATCATCATCATCATCCCGAAAAATCGAAAAATTCCTATAGTAATTAACTAAACCCCTTATGATATTTTTTCAACGAGGATTAGAGGACAAATACTGGAGATAGGTGAAAATTTTGTCTGCTTTGAGAAGCCATAGAAGTGTGGTGTGCGTATGTATGTGGGGCTTCAGTCGATGCATTGATTTGCGTGGTAATCGATGAGAGATGCGTTAGGCTATACGTTGTTACGAAGGTGTATTCGTTACATATCATATTGGCAAATAATATGTTGGATGTTGGATCAACGTCTTACCTTGTGGAAATGCACCGAGTCCATGATCAAGTGGATGTCCATGAGGATGTCCATGGGTAGCAAGTGCAAATGGCGATGGCAATCCGGGATGTGGCCCCCCAGGATGAGGATGCGAGTGCGGATGTGGATGTGTACCAACACCCATGGCTGGATGGCCATGGGGATGATATTGGGCACTTCCGGTTGGGGCGCAAGTTGCGCCCGCCGCCTTCAGATACCCCGCCATGTAGGTCGCGAGGCAAGCCAGTTCACCCGCCACTGCTGCACCCTTATCTCTTTCACTGGCCTTATCCACCTTATTCTCACACCACCAATATTCACCCTCCTCACACCACCCTATCGACAATTCTCTCCTTGATACTTTATTATTACTAGTATCGCCGCACAATTTCTTTGATCCTTCAGCCGCCACACGCTCCACGTACTCCTCCACCTATTAACACACAGTTATTCCTTGGTTATCCTTAACATTTATTTATACATTATGAATTATTATTTATCGAAATCACTTTCCATTAAATACTATCCAAATGCTTGGAGTGCCGTTCACTCTAATTCTTCACCCCTAAATACACTATTAACACTCAACTATTTTTCTAGATTCAGTCAAATACATAGTGTAAAACATAATAATAGTCTAGTATATGAGTAATCGGCAAAGAGAGAGAGAGAGAGAGAGAGAGAGAAAAAAACGACAAACAAACAGAAGAGAGTATGAAAAAACATTGTTTTGTTTTTCTTTTTTGCTTCTAAAAATCATTAAACTCACCAATCTCTCTCTTCTAATTATAACATAAGATGATCATTCAGCAATATCCACAATAATGATTTCCAATGTTGAAACAACTGACACTATACATTGACACAACGCGGAGTAATAATGGTTTGTGAATGTTGTAAATTCATCGACGGACAACACTCTCGAGCCGAAACGGACTACGACTAATGGAACAGATGAGAACAGACTCGGTCAAACTCCTGGCTATCCCCACCCCTCGTACCCTCACCTTAATAGTTTTTCAGACCCTACAGAGGTACCTTCCAAAAAATCATTGGTGGATGGTGGGGGATTTTTGAGGGAAAAAGGGGCCTGGGATCTTTATTGATGGAAGTGGGGATACCACCAGCTCGTACCAATGGCTATGGCAACCGCAATAATATCTATTGGTTATCCATCACTGTTACACCATTAAATAAACTTATTGAAATATTCGATATTCAATTTTACTCGACATATTATAATCATCTTTCTTTTTATTAGCTTACTGCACTATTGTAGATAATATATGGCATGTGCTAGAAGCGGAAAGCGGAAGTGCATCGAGCCCGGTGGAGTAGTTCCTTGCGGTTTATACCGTCGGAAATTTTAAATTTGCCATTACCACACTGAATGGTTAACCAAACGCTTGAAATAATTATTAATATTCCCGTGTGAAAGTGAAAGAAATGGATCTGTCAATTTATTTTGACTATTTCCATTTGAGTCGGTGGTTTTTTGAGTGTGAAGAAAAGGGCAGATTGTCATATTTTCTAGTTGTTTCCATCGGAATTGAAGGGGGATGCTTGGAAGTGAAGGATTGTGGACCTAGAAACACGTGAGTAGATGTGTTTACACGGGGGTATTATGGCGGATAATGTTTGTTATAGGCTTCACTGGCATACTAGCATCGAGTGCGCAACGCTCAGAAAGCACACATATCCCATCTGTATATATAACCACCATGCATAGGCCACATTAAAAGGTCTAGCCACAGTCGATCCGATTAAGCTTATAGCGGATGAAGCTCAAATTGACGGAGATATACTTCAATTCGTCTAATCAATTCGTCTATTTTGTTTAACGTTCAATTGACGACAAGAGTACAATGATACAATGATACTCTTGAGAATTCATTGATTGTTAAATCATATGAGTGGTGAAGGTATGAAAAAATAAAAATACAAATAAAAAGATGGATCATGAATCACAGTAGGAGGCTCCACCTGAGCCTCTTCCACGAAAGTCTATTGTCTTTCATCAAGTGGGAGAAGGGGGTATTCCCCTCTTTTCCTCATACCGAATTTAAGCCTCTCGGCGGATGATGATCCTGCTGGGGGTCATTGACGAGCAAGAAATCCCAAGAGTTTTTCACCATTTCAAGATACACCTCAATAGTCTCCGGAAAAACACCCTTTCGGGTATTAACTATAACGACGAGTAAACACAACAAGGTGTCGGTGCTCGTGCTCACATCTTTTACAACTTGACAAATATTTTTCCAAAGAGTTAGAGTTCTCTCAAGTGGGAAGATGGTATGCGTCGCGCTGGCGAACAATTTCACATAACAGCCAGCCACCCAGTCGAATCCAAAAAAAGGCGAAAAAAAATTACTTCTTTTCCCCAACTGTGGAGACTTGTGTGCTACGGGCTACGCACTGACGAGGGTGCAAAGGATTATTGCAGGGGTGTTTCGTTTTGTCTATAACTTGGGGATACGCCCGGCGCCAACTGTAGGTATACACTGTCTGGATTGTAAATCCCTTTCTCAACTCACACTTTGAATATGTGAAAGGCCCATTCATTCTAAACCATGAGGGACGTTTATTTTTATTACTTTATGATTATTGAGGAAATTGGCCAAATGCATTAACATTATATTTTCCGATATTCAGCCGCGATAAAATAAAAAAAATAAAGAAAAAAATATAAATCTGATTGAGAAGTAGCAAGCGATGTCATCAAGTTTTAGGGAATAGTTTTTTAGAGAGAGCTCAATAGAAGAGAATACATTTCAATAAAACTCTGGTAAAAAAAAAAAAAGAAAATATGGGAAAAATAAAGGAGTAAAATATTGAGAGAATGTGAAATGTGAATTTTGTAGGTTGGAGGTTGGAGGTGAATATGTGGAAAACCGGATGGGGTGGATGGGGTGGATGGGGTGGATGGCACAACCGCGCGGAGGTGGAGTCCGCGGCTCATGCGCGCTAATATTCCTCCCATGAGGAGTGTAGCTCCGCCCTTTTCTCTTGCGTTTTCTCTTGACGCGGACAATTTCGACGGGACGTTTCTGCCCCTCATATGTACTCACTATCATTCCTACCTTTTTTTTTCTCTTTTATTGCAGCTCACTCTCCCTTTCTCTCCATTCCATATATCCTCTCTCTACACTCACTCTCCACTCACTCTACACTCACTCTCCACTCATTATTTCGCATAAACCAATTGACTCACTATCTTTATCTTATATTTATTTTACAATCCAATGGATTTTTGTCAATGATTTTGGGTAAAGCAGTGTAAATTACACGTGCATTTACTAGTTTAACATTTTTGAGAGGAAGGATTAATCAATTTGATGTGTGAATAATTTTGAAAAAAAAAAAAGTGGTATTTTGTATCGTACAGCTATATCAATATGTATATATGCTGCCAACAAAATAATAGACAATTATAATATGTCAATGTTCCATGTTAAATTCAATTGAGTCAATTTACTAAATTTCGTCACCTCCGCTTGAGTCGCATTACAATTCTCAAACATACGAACATGGGCGAAATAACAATTTTTTAAAATAAGTAAATAAAAATAAAAGCCCCCATATCTCGCAGTCAATGCTATTTTTGGGAATTTTATAACTAATCTTGAAGATACCAGCGTTCATCTATAATAAATGATAGGCATTGTTATGCATAAATATGACATAGAGTTATATATTTACGAGTGGGGACTGGTCGCCGACACGAGCAGAAGGATGATAGTTGGATATATACGGTGCGTCGTGAAGGCAGAATAAGGTTGGTGAGGTGCGCAAGGTCACCCAGGATCGAGGTGAAAAGACCTCGATGTGTATAAACGAAAGAATAAAAGATGAGCATACATGTGTATGTATATGGATATAGAGGAGAGAAACCGGGTGTAACCAAACGAATTTATAGAGGAGAAATTAGGAGGTTTATAGAAGCTGTGCACGGTAGCTGAACCGTAGATCATCATTAGACGCCCAACTGGGCTGCTCGGTAACACCGAGAGGAGACACACCGCCTTTCATTTTTTTTTTCATTTTTTTTCATTTTTTTTTTTTTTTCATTTTTACTTCTCCGCGTGCATCTGTAAAACTTGATATTCCCCATCCTCCTTCCCTCATACTTTAATGTTGACAGTATAGGTACAGTTTATAAGCCAATATACGCACACTTTCAGCCGCCTCCTCAATCACCCTCCACCATTGATTATTTTTATCACCATGTGTTATATCGATCGCGGAAAAATAAAAATTGATAATTTTATTATTTGACTCAACAATGGAAAAAGAAAAAAAAAAGGAATAAAGAGAGAAAGTATATGATCTATTGATGCCAACTCCTCCCCCTCAATTCACCAATTATCAACTTATATAGAAAATTCACGCCCCAGCAGTTAGTCCCGACAAAGCAATCTAACCAGCCCAAGGGTAAAAATATATATGACAAATAATTGGTTGAGTACAGAAAGGAGGGGGGAACAGTTACGGAATGTAAAGGGAGAGAATGAATGTGGGTTCCGCATCAGGGGTGGTCTGAGGGTAATACCCCACGCCTCTTTACCGCCTCTTGGAGGTTACGCTCCAGGGGTACGTGACGCGCGCCCTATCTATACCTTCCCACACAACATGAGGAGAAATACTAACATTATCAATTGACACTGGATAGATTGAGCAATATTGAATAATACTCGCTACCAGATGAACTGCATCGAGTGTATCGAGTGTATCCATCAGTGTGAACTATCTTCCTTCTGGAAGACAGTGGCTAACTCTATTAAACTGACGATGGTGCGTGGTAGCAAATACCATCAGTATACTAAGCCACAAATCCAGGCTTAGAGCTCAGAAGCTTATGAATTAAATTGGTTAAACCCAGCGTTAAACTGACAATCTGCCAAATACCCATTGAATATTTTGAAAATGGTCAAAAAATAACTCGACCCACTTAATTGTTAATTGTTGTTGAATTCTTTGTCTTCACTAGTCCCCTTGAAAAGGCAGCCCCCTTGAAAAGGCAGTCCCAGGCAAATCTCATCAACACGAAAAAGCCTCCGTCAAAGGCAAATATATTTACCAATCGATCATGCCTCCTATGTAAATACCGAGGTGATATAGTATAGCAGTACCTATCCTCCCCAGAAACTCGGAAAAAATCCATCTATAACTAAATTACACGGTATACCAGGGAGCAAAGGTTAGGTAGGAAAACAGTAATATAAAGAGGGAGGAAAAATTTTCAACACTTGGTCTCTGGCTATTTTTTACGATTCCTGGTGGGAGCATTTTGGAGGTGCACAACAGCCGCCACGCAGCTATATAAACACGTCAGCGATGGGCATTGTTACCTTGGATACGCTCTCCCGTGTGTACAAGCTATTGTAACGAATCGTTTACCTTCAGAATGAAAGATACCTTTTCTCCTATTCATACTTACTGGTGAGCATTTTCAACGAGACAAATTTCATTTCCGGGTGTTTATTATCTTTTATTCCCCCCAATAATAGCTTACCGGTGCTCCCATTTTTTTCAACATCATAACATGTTTTCACATATTTTCAGTCTTAATTTGTCAATGATTATTTTTCAAAATAATTAATAAGTTTGTGAAATAGCATTGGGATAAGTCGTTTCTCGTAACGACCTAACCTCATTAGAGCGTCATCAACCTGTATTAATTCCAATCCCTAATTTAATACTTCTTCAAAGCCTGACAAAGCTAACCAATGACCTGGCCGTCGTAGGACAGATATTCAAGTACTTCCTCGAAGGTGATGGAGCTTGAAGCGTGTGCCTCTTGGGTAAATATCCCAATCAACTACTATCTGCCTTGTCTAATTGGATAATTCTTCAGGCTAAATAGCACGTAAATACGTGTGCTCTAACGCTGTCATCGCGTTGTCATTGTTTTTCATTTTCATTGCATTTCCATTAATTGATATTATTTCTAAAGCTCCTCTATAGATTAGCTAAAGATGGACAGCTATGTATCCAGCATGATGTCTAAGGCGAAGAAAAAACTATATGTCCCATAATATCTCATATCCCAAAATTTTTTTATCACTTTGTGTCGGCCGAGACACTGAGGCACCTCTCATCCACCAATATATAAACTATTTCAACGGAAGTGCTGGCCAAGCTGTCAGATCTCAAATCCGACAATGCGAGGACTGAGGCCTTTTAAGTATTCGACACCATCTCACACTTTTTTTTTTCTCCCCGCTCTAGATCAAATCTCGTATCCGAGAAAAAGGTAAAAGCTTATACTCTTTTTCATGACACGTTCATTCCGG